CCGGCGATTGTCAGTCAGATTTCTAGTTATGCCTGATGCCACAGAAGACCTACTACTAGGACTCGACTTTTTGGTTAAAAGCGAGGCCCGTATCAGCTGCGCCGGTCTCACCTGCGACTTCGGTGTACAGCCGGAAGCACATCGACTCGGAACAATCATAACCACGTCAGCAGTGGAAGAAGAAGGAGCCAAAGCGGTCGGCCATAAAACGGTAAGTGAGCTTGAAAGAAAGGACCAAGCAAGGATACAATCCTTCTTAGAGGTCGAACTCGGACAATTTGACGAAATTAAAGGCCCGTCTACTGCGGCGATCCATCGAATTAAAATGAAGGACGTCCGGCCCTTTAAGGCCAGATATGCACCCCGAAATCCGGCTATGCAGGCCATCATTGATGAAAAAATAAACGAACTTTTAACATTAGGATACATAGAGCCCTCACATAGCCCGTACAGTTCCCCAATTACGTTGGCCCAAAAAAGAAACGGGACGTGGAGACTATGTATAGACTTCAGGCAACTCAACAGTCGATCTGAACCAGACGCTTATCCACTTCCCAGAATTGATACCATCTTGAATCGACTACGCGAAGCCAGATACGTGAGCAGTCTCGATTTAAAGGACGGCTACTGGCAAATCCCTCTGGAGGAGGACAGTAGAAAATATACTGCATTCACTGTAGCTGGACGAGGGCTATATCAATGGAAAGTCATGCCGTTTGGTCTTCACTCGGCACCCGCAACATTTCAACGCGCATTGGATAGCGTAATCGGACCAGAAATGGAGCCACATGCGTTTGCCTATTTAGACGATATTGTTGTCATCGGAAGAACGTTGGACGAACATTTAGCAAATCTGCGAAAGGTGTTCCAGCGGTTGCGTGAAGCCCGATTACGAATCAACCCCGACAAATGCGAGTTCTTCAAACGGGAGACTAAATATTTGGGCCACGTAATCAGCGGACAAGGCATTCACACTGACCCTGACAAGGTTGCAGCAATTCAGGGGATAGAGCCACCCAAAACACTTAAGGAGTTACGGCGTTTTTTGGGGGTAGTTTCTTGGTACCGGAGATTTGTACCCGACTTTGCCACTATTGCTCAACCCCTAACGTCACTTCTTAAGAAAGGCAAACATTGGAAATGGACGGAAAACCAACAGACAGTGTTTGAAGTGCTCAAAGCCAGACTCACCCAGGCCCCAGTACTCGCCTGCCCTGACTTTTCACGGAGATTTGTCCTTCAGACAGACGCTAGCGATCATGGACTTGGAGCGGTTCTAACCCAGGCTTTCGACGAAGGTGAACGAGTTATAGCATATGCCAGCAGAACGTTGAACGGGGCAGAAAACAACTACTCGGCCACAGAAAAGGAGTGTCTAGCGATAGTATGGGGCATTCGGAAAATGCGCCAATACCTCGAAGGCTACAATTTCCTGGTCATAACGGATCACATGGCGCTAAAATGGCTCAACTCCATTGAGAATCCCACTGGAAGACTAGCTCGCTGGGCGTTGGAGTTGCAACAATACACGTTTACCATAGAATACCGGAGGGGAAGCTTAAACGTAGTAGCGGATGCCTTGTCCAGACAGCCGGTGGAACCACTGATGAGAGCTGTGGAGGAATCCGTTACTCAGTGTCCCTGGATTAAAGAAAAATTGCAAGCGATCGAGAAGAACCCGGAGAAGTTTCCAGATTACGCCATAGTAGGCTCAAACTTGTACAGGCATATTCAAAGGACCAAGGATGACGAGGACGACACGCCATGGAAGTTATGCGTTCCTTCCCAACTGCGTGAGCGAGTTCTCCGGGAAAATCATAGCCAACCGGCAGCCGGACATCTAGGTATCCGGAAGACCATCAACAGAACGTGTGGACGCTATTATTGGCCTGGTATGACTCGTGATGTGACGCGCTTTGTGAAGAAATATTCCCAAAAATTAATAATGGACCAACCTACCCAACCATTACGTACAAAGGCTTTTTACAAGCATCAATACCAGCTTGTGGAATCCCTTAAACCCTGCTCCGTTGTGCTCACGAGGTTGGAAGAAAAGGAAACGCATGCACTGCGGAACAAGAACGCAGGGTCCAGTCCTACCCCTAAGCCATCTAAAAGGGCCAACACCACCAAGCCCAAAAAGAGTAGGCTCCCCAGCCAAAAGAAGATGCGGCGTGATGTACCATCCTCATCACCGGTAGTAGTTGAGACTATCGTCATCTCATCTGACGATGAGTTACCATCCACCCCGCCTCGAAGGCCACCTGTGGTACACGACTACCCGGTCACCCCCCCTCCTACAGTGTCACCCATGGCAGCCGGAGACACCATACCCGACTTACCACCGACGCCAGGTCGCACACTTTTTATGACCATGGGATTTCCACCGGCGACCGTACGCAACGTAGGTTTGGATCTGTCCCCTCGGTATGCACCGGACTCGGATTCGGAGACCGAATGCTACCAACCACATATTAATCGCCGGTTGGAGCAGGTGAGAAGCCCGAAACCCCCGACAGTATCCAGTGTGGTGGTCGTACCGGTAACCTCGGAAAAATCTGTTGAGGACATCCAATTTGAATGCCGGGAAATGCTACCAGAGGAAGTTAGGAGCGAATTACAGCCGTGTCTACGAGATGCTCTTCGCCGCTGGATACCTCACCACCAACACAAGCGGGTTTTTACCATTGGCGGGAGAAAGCTCCGGGTCCACGTCAATCGACAAGGGAAAATTTTTGTGCGGATGTTGTGAAGGCAGCCGGCTCGTTTAGAGAGGGGAGGCAGTGTGACGACGAAAGTCATTTCATTTGTTTTCGTCCCCACTTTGTTGTTGAATTTTAAAATTTATTTGTGTAAAGAAAGAGTTGTTATATAAATATGAATTTCCAAAAAAATCACCGTCCTTTTATTTCCAAAACTTAACCAACCCCCCTCATAGTTATTTACATCAACTTCTTGTTTGGCATTGATTTTAACACTGGACAGTTAGGTTCAATGACCATCATAGTCAAGGTCACGCAGTAGCAGCAAGAAATATTGTTAGATCACACAACTGCAATGCCAATGCATTAAACCAATGCATAGGCAGCCAACAACAAGCAAGCATCACAACGATCGATTCAACCAAAGCATTGCGCCAATGCATAAACACACAACAACAAGCAAGCATGGCACAATGCATAAACGCACAACAACAAACAAGACACACTGGGCATTGATGTTAATGCATGGTAGTGGAGACCGGGCAACGCAGGCGTAGCATAACAACAAAGACCATGCATGACAGTGAACCATCGTTCGATGATGGCAAAGCGAAGGCATCAAAGACAAAATTTATAACTGTTTCGTGTGACAACAAAAAGGCTTGGGCATAGAAGGTCTAAGATCACGTGACATGCTGCGAGGCTATAAAAAGGAAAAATCCTATTAGAAGTTCTTTCAGTTTGTGAAGTGAACTACAGCGAAGAAGACAGGTGAGTCAGAGTGGTGAAAAGATAGGAAAACTGTAAGAGGTGTTCATAAGCCCTTCGGTAACTCGCGTTCTCGAGCTAGAGTTTAACCCCTTGAGGTGTCGTAAAGCCCTTGGGTTCTTCGGGTTTCTTCGTATTTCATCCCCTTGAGGTGTCATAAAGCCCTTGGGTTCGTCGGGAATTAAGCCCTTGAGGTGTCGTAAAGCCCTTGGGTCCTTCGGGCTTCGTCGTTATTAACCCCTTGAGGTGATAAAGCCCTTGGGTTCTTCGTATTTCATCCCCTTGAGGTGTCGTAAAGCCCTTGGGTTCTTCGCTTCTAAACCCTTGAGGTGTCGTAAAAGCCCTTGGGTCCTTCGTATTTCATTCTCTTCGGGTATTAATCCCTTGAGGTGTCGTCAAGCCCTTGGGTTCGTCGTTATTAACCACTTGAGGTGTTTAAGCCCTTGGGTTCTTCGTATTTCATTCCCTTGAGGTGTCGTAAAGCCCTTGGGTTCTTCGGGTATTAACCCCTTGAGGTGTCGTCAAGCCCTTGGGTTCGTCGTTATTAACCACTTGAGGTGTTTAAGCCCTTGGGTTCTTCGTATTTCATCCCCTTGAGGTGTCGTAAAGCCCTTGGTTCTTCGGGTATTAGCCCCTTGAGGTGTCGTCAAGCCCTTGGGTTCTTTGGTATTAACCCCTTGAGGTGTTAAAGCCCTTGGGTTCTTCGGGTTTCTTCGTTATTAACCCCTTGAGGTGATAAAGCCCTCGGGTTTCTTCGTTATTAACCCCTTGATGTGATAAAGCCCTCGGGTTTTCTTCGTTTTTCATCCCCTTGAGGTATTTGAAGCCCTTGGGCTCATCCATATCAACCCCTTGAGGTGTTCCAGCCCTTCGGATTTTATCGTTCATTTTAACCCCTTGAGGTGTTAGAGCCCTCGGGATCTTCGTTATTAACCCCTTGAGGTGATAAAGCCCTTGGGTTTCTTCGTTTTTCATCCCCTTGAGGTGTTTTGGAGCCCTTGGGTTCATCAATGTCAACCCCTTGAGGTGTTTCCAGCCCATCGAGTTTTTATCCTTTTAACCACCAGCACCAAGAGAGCACGAACGTCCTAGGTACCGCTGAACTTGCCGCTGTATATATATTCTTACCCGAACTGTTAAATATAAGTAAACCCCAATCAATTCTGAATAAAATAAACATATTTGCTTAAAAAACAAACCACTTGCGTTTTTACTCTCTCGGTCACTTTATAAATTTCTGTGGCAGACCCTCGACCCCGCGAGCAAACCTCAGCAAGAAGAAGGGAATTTGGGTCGTTACAGTACGTTTGTACGAAAAGTACTAAATTGTACTAAATTTGATTTTGGCTGAACGAATAGGGCTGGGAATTTCAAAACTTAAAAAAAAATTACTTTCAGAGCTAACATAACCTCAAAAAATTAAAAAAAATATATTTTATTTATATTTTAATTATTTTATTTTCTTTTATTTTGACATTTTCAGGGCTACATATTTTTTTTACATTCAATTAATTTATTCTATATCACAATTTACTTCTTGGCCGGCATTAGATTAATAAAGGTGTTCACGAACTGGACAAATGATTTGGGCATTTCCAATTCAAAGAAGACGGAGCCTTTTTCTTCATTTGCCACAGATGTGGGGGCATTGGCCACAGTGGCTAAAATCTTGGGGGCCGAGTGGACAATTGACTGCTGATTTTTGTAAACGACATTGGCGGTACTGTCTTCCTCAGATTCTGCTTCTTCTTGCCTATTTCCACCTTCTTCTTCTTCTCCCTCTTCTATTTGTTCTTGGGCCGGAAGGGTAGATCTCCTCTCAAACTGATCCAGTTTGTTGGAGACAATATGCTGTGTTGAATCCGAACGCTCCTGGGTGGATACAAATTTCGCCTGGAATGGATATTTCAGAGGAACATAGAGATGCAAAACTTGAATACCCGAAGGTATGGTGGCCACATTGTTGTTTTCATCCTTGGGAAGAATAGTGCCGTTCTCTTTGAGGGCTCGAATGAAATCTGTTACCGAAATGGCCTTATAATGGATGTTACCGAATGGTTTAAAGAAACCGGGAGCTTTTGTTGTTGTCGTTGTGGTTCGACGATTGGGTGATCTTGTGGTGGTGGTGGTGGTTGTTCTTTCTTTTTGCGTCTGCCTTACGGTGTTGTTGTAGGTTTTACCAAACAAGCTGGCCCAAAATGCCATATCACGTTGTTCCACCTTGCCGGCATCCGCTTTGATGGGTGGGGTTTCCGTGAAGCGATTGGGAGCAAAGGGACTAAAGCCAGTGAAATTCAAAGGTCTCCAGTTCCAGGGCACGGCCAGAAAACCCACGCCCGTAGTCTGATTTCGATTGAGGAGCGTCGGAATGTTGGTTAAATTCAAAGGGAAGGCAGGAAGATTTGCCACGGGATTGGGTAAATTGGAGAACCAGGCATTTTGTGGGGGTCTTTGATTGCCCGAGGCGGAAGTAGCTGGGGCTTGGGCAAATCCGGGCAACCAAAAGGTCTGTGTGGGCCTAGGGGTAACATTTTCAGTGGCCTCTGAGTTGTTGGGTTTGGATGTTGCTGCCGCACCAAAAGAGGGGAAAATGCCGGCCGGGAAATTCGGAAACCAAAAACTCAAAGGTGGCCGATTTTGGTTATTTGTGACGGGTTTGCTGGGCGCTGTGGCGGGTCCTGTTGTCGGCTTGGAACTCGTCTCGGGTCTATTCACAAATACCACACTGGGAGCTGGAATTGCAGCGGGTCCCGTAGTGGGCTTGGGTTGGGTTTGGGTCCGATTTAGATGCACCACATTAACGGGTTTGGGAACGGAGTTGCCATTTGGCTCCAATGTTGGCCGGATTGGCCTTCTATTAGGTCTCTGGGTTTGTGGTTTGGTATTCGTGGTAGAATTGGTCGAGGGCCTGTTGGAGGGAATGCGACTAGGTTTGGTGGCTGTAGCTGTTGCAGAAGGATTCCTTGAGGGTTTTTGTGCACCAGGCTTGTTGGCATTTGCCGAAGTTTGTTGTGAAGGTTTGGAGTTTGGTTTTTGACTGCCAGCGTTGCCTTTGGTGGGTCGGGGCCTGGGTCTATGTGTGGTACCGGTTTGAGAGGTGGTACTTGGGTTGCGCACAGGTTTGGGTTTTGTTGTCGATGTTTTCTGGGGAATTGTTGAGTCAGGCGTGGGTTTAGGTTTCAGAGTTTGCGGAGCTTCGGTTGTTGTTGTTGTCTCTTTGATGTTGTCGGTGGCGGCTGGAGTTGGGAGCGATTCACCAGGGATTTGTTCAGAAGTTGTCGATGACTGAGGAGCCTCCTGGACTTTGTGGGACGAAATTGTGTTCGGAGTTCCAGGAGTTTTGTTCCCACTTTCTTGGCTGAGGGGCAATGTGATTTTATCAGAGACAGGCCCTTCCGTTGTCATGTCTGAGGTTGGCTTCATTTCGGTATGATCGGGAACTGGAGGTACCGATGTGACTTTTTTCGGTGCCATATCAGAATTCGAGGTAGGTGATGGCTCTTTCTCGGCGGCAGGCTGTAGGGTTTGAGGCCTGGGATTATTTTCCAGTACCTGTGCGGAGGTAACTTCCAGTGAAACAATATCTTGAGGAGTTTCAGAGTTACCATCTGGGGTTGGCTTCATTTCGCCGAGGTCTGGGTTTGAGGATACTGATGGAGCCTTATCAGACCCCTGATAAAGACTTGAATCAGGCAATTGCAGTTTTTCGGCACCCTTTTCCGACAGAACTTCGGATGTAACTCCCAAAGAAAGGATTTCCGAGGATGGTTTCATTTCAGCGAGATCTGGACTTGAGGTTACCAATGGCACTACGTCAGATGCCTGATCTAAACTTAGGGATGCCGACTGGATTTTTTCCAAGTCTTCACTACTTTCCAGGCCACTTGAAGAGGTCACCTCCATAGACTCGCTTGCTTGAGGTGTTGCTGGGGAAGAAGCAGCCGCTTCTGGGAAAGGTTTTATTTCGTTTAGATCGGGAGTGGAAAATTCCGTTGGGAGTTTCTCAGATACCTGATTGGAGCTTGAAGCCTCCACCTTTACCCTCTCCGATGTTAAACTATTTCCAACGATATTTTCAGTGGCAACATCCATGGAAGGTTTTTTCTCTGCCTTTTCTGGAGAAGAAGGAATCGATGTTGAGACTTCAGAGTTAATTTCGACGGGAACGGGATGTGGGGGTACCACATTTCCTTGCTCATTAATCTGATCATCACTTAAGACGTCCATTTTTAATTTTTCCGTTGTCTGACTGTTTTCCAAGTCGTTCACGGAGGCAAGAGTTTTCTCTGTGTTTTCATGGGAATTTTCTGTCATTAAAGTCCCAGCAACTCCACCATCTGGGTCAGAGTTCTCCTGAGGCGTTTCCTCGTCATTGGCTTTGGTGTTTTGAGCTTCCAGAGGACTTTGGTTAATTTTATCAGCTATGGACTCTAACAAAGCCAAAATGTGTTCTGAGTTATTTTCTTTGTCTGATTGGGCGCCACTTTCGTTTTCGGATAGCTTGCTGTCTTTTTCCAAAATGTCCTTATCGTTCCCTTGATTCAATTGAGATTCGCTTTCATCCTGTGTCAGCTTTTGTTCCTGATTGTGGTTTGCTGTGGCCTCCAAGGGGGTTTGCTGATCGTCCAGTTTGACATTTTCAAAAACAACTTGAGTTGGCGTAATTTCGCTTGCCGAAGAATCCAGGATTTCTGTTTCCTCCGATGACTTGGGAACTTCAGGTGAAGGTTTTGGGGTAAGTACTGCCTCAGACTTAGCCTTCAGTGTTTCTTCAGAAATTTTCGCAGTTTCTTGGGAATTGGAATCTGCTAAACTGGGTTTCTCGGATGAAAACAGACTCGTATGTTCCATAGCCTCTACAGGTTTCTTTGGAATATCTGTTGGATTAAAAGTATCTAAGGAGACATTTGCATCAAAGTCGGAAAAAGAAGGCATTGGCTCCAAAGGAGTTTGAGCTTCTGCAACATTTTCTACTTTATTTTGAAGAACGTCGTGATTTCCACCAGGACTGATTAAGGAGAGTGATTCCGGCGTATCTGAAGAAATGGATTCTTTGTTTTCGGAAATAGGCTCATCTTCAGTTGCTTTGTCCTTTTTGCTCATATCATTTTCGGATACAATGGAATTCGGTAAGGGTTCCTTGGAAGAATCCGAGGTTTCCAAGACAACCGATGCTAAGTTGTTAGGGGAAGATGCCAAAAGAGTTTGATGTTCCTCAACATTCTGGATTATTTGTTCGGCAGTAATGGAATTTTCCGGAGGCTCGTTGGAAAAATCTGAGGCACCGATGGTAAGGATCTCTCCGTTAGAGGAGGTTGAATCCGAGGCTGCTTGAGTTCCTGAAACAACTTCGGTTTCGTCGTGTTGAGGTTCTTGATTCACACTGAGAGTATTTAGGAAGGTAGAATCCGAGCTAGATAATGTATGGTGATTTCCATTGAGGGATATAACCGACCCCTCTTCTCCTTCCTCCTTTTTGATTGCATTTTCTTCGGTAGCTATGATATTTGTTAGGGATTCTTGGGAAACGTCTGAAAATACGGAGGTAAGAGGCTCAGAATCGGAAGATGGATTCAATGATGCTTGAATTTCTGATACATTTTCCGGCTTATCTATGGGAGATAGAGGATCTGTGGTTGCGGGGGTATCCGGATTTTCAATTAAGGAAAGAGGTGTCTCCTCTTTCTCTCCATCCTTTCTCATTTCATTTGTTTCGGAAGTAATCCGAATTGTTAAAGCTTCCACCGTCTCTGAGTTAGTATCGATTCCAGAAACTTCCACAGAAGATGATGAAGGTTTCTCAGTTTCTTTTTTAACATCTGGTGGAGCACCAAGATCAGATGTAACAGATGGAATTGCATCCTCTAAAGGTTTGTTTAAAGCATTTTCTTGTAAAGGTAGGGCAGCATCAACAGTTTCCTCAGAAATTTCACCGGGAATTTGAGGAACCTGCAGAATCTGGGGATCATTGGGCTTGATGACATCAGCTTGGCCGGTAGACTCTTCCTTGGAGATTTCATCATGTTCTTCTGGGTATTTCTTGGATATACCCTCTAAAATTTGTGAAGCATCAGTTTGCACAGCAACCTTTGAAATTTCATTCTCAAAAGGTTGAGCCGAACTCTTTTTCTGAGAAATTTCGCCATCTGAAGTTTCTGCTGAAATAATTGCCGAAACCTTAGGCATATCGTCCTGTAATGCCATGGAGTCCCGATTTTCAGTCTCCTCCATTGAGACTTTGATGGAATCTTCTTTTAAATCGCCATCAGATTCCTGGGTGTTTTCGTCTAGCTCCTGAAACAGTTCTGGAATGGGTAGAAGAACTTCGCCAACACTTTCATTTGTATCTTCAGACATAAGACCGGATTTTTCGGCTGTCTCCAGGGCTCCTGTCTCCAAAGCTTTAATTCCTGTGATATCATCCATACTTTCTCCCAAAAGGGTGCGCGTGAGAAGAGAATTTTTCTCCAAATTTAAAGAGAGGGTTCCAGACTTTTCAGGCTGCTCTTCTTCCTTGGGAGTCTCAGTGTCGTATTTCAAACTCGCCAGATTATCGTAGGGTTCATTGGGAATCTTGTTCGATTTGTTCTCAGCATTTTCACTCTGTTGGCTATTGAGACTATTTAGCTTCGAGGAGGATGTAACTTTCTCTGGATTTATTGCCGAGTCCTGGGTTTCCAAGTTACCATCCATTGCCTCTCCCAACAGGGTGCGTGTTAGAAGAGAATTTTTTTCCAAATCCAAAGAGATATTCTCTGAATTTTCCGTCTGTTCCTTTTCCTTGTGAGCTATCGGCGGTTGATCCTCACTATTTTCACTTTGTCTGCTGTCGATATTTTTCAGCTTGGGTGAAGAACTACTTTTTTCTGAATTTATTGACGCTTCCTTGGCTGTCAGAGGCGTTTGACTATCATTGGGCGCCACTTCTGTTGCGTTATGTTTCTTTACATCTAAGGCCGTTTTCCGTAAGCCTTGAGTAAAATCTTCAGTGGGAGCCTTTACCTTTTCCAATTCTTTCAAATTTGTTGATGCATTGGTTGCATCCACGTTGGGCGCCACTTTATTGGCATTTCCAATTTCTTGTTTCTCATGCTTTGTGGGTTTCTTTGAAGTACTAAGCGAGCCTTGATTGTGGATATCTGATTCGGGTTTTTTCGAGTTATCAGCATTGACCTGCCCCACGTTGGGCGCCACTTGATTGGAATTTCCATTTTCTTGATTTTCATGCTGTGAAGTGTGTTTTGAAGTCTTTAACTCGTCTTGTAGGCTATTACCTGATCCAATTCCTTTTAAACTGTCATCATTGGTCCCTTTCACGTTGGGCGCCACTTGGTGGGAATTTCCATTTTCTTGGTTTTCATCCTTAATTGTGTCCTTAGAAGACTGTAGCGTGTCTGAAACGTTGATAACTGTTTCATTTATTCCAACAACTGCAGGATTTTGCAAATTTTTGAGGTAATTTTTGGGCGGTTCATTTTCACCTAAACTTGCTGGGGCTTTTGTCGATGTTTTGCCATCTGGGGTTGCAGATTTTTCATTTGTTTTCTGTTTTGTGGTCGTTGGGTTTTCACCCAAATTAACTGGGGTTTCCATAGGTTGTGTATCTTTAGGTACCTGAGATCCATTCTCCGTATCCTGCTGGGCATCTATAATTGTTGTCCAAGGAAAAGAAATTCAGATTTAAATTTTCTTAGCAATTACCCAGCGAACATATTCATTACAAGTTGATTATGTACACATTACTTTAAAAAGGCAGGGTCACCCGAAATAGGTAGTTATTTCTTGGCCATCTATAAGTCGATTATAAGTAGATACTCTTTGCCTACTTCCAAGAAAAAACGCATTACAAATCTGCTCACCAATTTGGACATATTGCACGAAGTAAGATGCAAGGGGTTCGCAGATGTGCGTAATCTACACAAGAGATCTTGTGTTAGCATAAATGTATGTATGCGTGAAAATTGAAAAGACTTGGATGCTAATACAGCCTTCTTTGAGCGTTTTGTTTTTCAAAATCCTGAACACTATGTGGAGGACGCACCGGAAAGAATTGTCCGATCTCTACCATATTTATAACAAATTTTGTGTTGATGGAAATTTTGAGATGTCCCAAGACTGAATGGAATCGGATGTTAATATCGCGTTTTATGAGCTTCATGGACATTCAAAATTTTGACCCTTTGGGGGGAGGTACCAGTAGGGGTTGACCGATATATTCCATCTTCACAGCAGACTTTGTGTTAGTAGAAATAATGGGATGTGTGAAATTGAAGACAACCGGATGCTTATTTCGGATTTTATAATCGTTTTGGTTATTCAAAAGTTTGACCCTTTGTGGGGGAGGTACCAGAAGGAATAGTCCGATCTCTACCATCTTTATAAGAGATCTTGTGTTGATAGAAATTTTAAGATATGCCGAATCAAAATGGAATCAGATGTTAATTTCGCGTTTCATTAGCTTCATGGATATTCAAAAGTTTGACTCTTTGTGGGGGAGGTACCCTAAAGAGTGGACTGATATATTTCATCTTCACACCAGATCTTAGTTTTATAAAAATATTGCGATGTGCGTAATTTGAAGAAAATCGGACTTTTACATCACATTTTTTAAGAGTTATAATTATTCAAAATTTTGGCACTTTGTATGGGAAGTACTGGACCGAGTGGACCGATATTTTCAGTTTTCATACCTGGCCTAGCACTTTTGCAAATATTAGAATTTGTAAATTTGGAGTAAAATTGGATCATCCTTCCTCTTTCTGTGCAGTAACAAATTTTTTTTAAATTTTTGACTTGTGGGGAAGTTGCCAGAAGGAGTGAACCGATTTTGCCTATCTCCGAACTCGATCTAAGCTTGATAATAATATTAGTTTGTACATGGTTTCGACCAAGTTGGATAATCCTTTCAAGAGTTATCTTGTGTACCAGCCAGCCAGACAGAGGGACAGGCATCGCTACATCGACTCCAAATATCCTGAAACGGATTTGGTTCACAGAGACTTAGGGTCTAAAACCGTTATTTCGACAAGGCAACTCTTGGCCGTATTAAATGATATATGCCCTCTGTAGCCATATTGCTGAGGGTATAATAATGTGTTGGTAACCCGATTTATAATAAGTTTGTTTGCTGGCTTAATAAGGAAGAGCTGCGTGCAGGAACTTACCCAGGGTTTTTAATAATCCAGCCGATCCAGCGTCTTGATTTGTGTTGGAAGTATCCAAGGATTCACGGGACTCCATGACTTCCTTTTTGGAATCTGATATACTTTCGTCGAAAAAGGGTTCATTTCCAGCATTCTCCTGAAAATTTGTTTCTTTTTTGGGGGAGTCCTCCGATCTTATTCCCTCTGAAGATATATCCGAATTCTGTGCGGCCGTTCTTTGAGGTTTTTTGGAATCTCTTGACGATTTTTTATTTTCCTTTTTTGAATCTGGGAGACTTGCATCCAACGGCGATTCATTTTCAACTTTCTCCCGAGAAATATTTTCTTTTTGGGCAGATTTCTCGAATTTTAACTTTTCAGCAGATATATCCACATTTTCATCTCTATTTCCCAGAGGTTGTTTAGAATTTGCCAATACTTTCGGATTCGGTAGTTTATTCTTTTCCTCCTCACTGAAAATTTCATTGTTAAAATCCACTTCATCATAGGGTGGGATCTCGGAGTTTTCCCCTTCCTTGGTAATCACTTGCACTGGTTCGATGATATATTTTTGGGGTACCCGTAAATCCACTGATATTTTTTCGGAGTATTCTGGAGTCACAGCTTTCCCTTGAGGTATGACATGGCCTTGGGCGGCATGAAGCACCCATAGCCAAATTAAAAGAAATCTTAAATTTCTTAGAAAACCCTGAGGAAAAAATATATTTTTTTTTATTTTTTGAATCTCTTTTATTAATTCTCTCCGCCTGGTCTTACCATTTCGTTTTCTAAAATCCAACTAATGCCCTATCAAGAATGTCTAACCTATATTTATATGCAAGAAAATTCCAGTTGTTGTTTTTTTTTTTCAATTCTTTTGGGCAATCTTCCTTTGACGATTATGGCACCAGACAGACTACCTTTCATTTTCAAGTTCTTTTGTTTCGAATGAAAAACAAAAGTATTTTTTTTTCCATTTCATTTGGGAGGGGGAGAAATTATCATAAGAGGGATGAACCAGCACTAATTATAATGCATTTCTGTTTTGGGCAGAATGCATCAAATGCAAGCACAACAACAACATCAGTTGGAGATCCACTTGTGCCGCCATTTGATAAAGGTTTCCCTCAATGAATGAATGGTTGGTTAATGGGCTCCATGATAAGAACTTGACATCAAATCATTGGTCATTCCCTTGTGGTCTGGCTGGTGTCTTTTTTTTCGCTGCACTCAATTGGAGTTTCACTCTCCACGTGAAGAAAAAAGCACCCAGAAGAAGAAGAAGAAGTAGGCCCTTGAAGAACATCATCCACATAAAAAAGATGCACCATTAGAAGACGATTTTTTTCTTTGAAACAGGTAGTGGTTGAGGCATTGATGGTGTGCCAGTAGGTCATTCTTAAGTTTTCTCTAATGACTTGGCGTCTTTTTCTTTTTATTTTCTGTCTTTCTTTCTTTGTTCCCCACAAAAGTAAATAACTTTCGCTTTGGGAAAAAAATGCAACAATGGCACAGTGCATCCAAGCCCATGAATTATGGATGAGAATGAAAAAAATCATAATAAAAATAAAAATAGTATTTGAAAAAAAAGGCCAGTAGCCCAGGGCCTGTCTGCCATATGAAGCTTTTATTATGATTTTAGAATAGATGTAATTAAGTTTATGATCGTCATGAAAATTTATGGTAAGCTTTTATGGAAGTAAGAAAATTGATGATGGGAACCTTTGATCCAGTTATTAAAATGATTTTATTAATTCTTCATTTTTCAAGCCAAACAAGTCGGATAAGCCAAAACCAACTTCCATATTAAATATAGATCAATATATGAAAGAATTCTTGAACAATTTCTGAAAGTGTATATAAAATACCTCTTTTATAAAAACAAGTAAAAAAACATTAAGTTCGGCCGGGCCAAACTTTTAATACCCTCCACCTTAGGGTAAAGGAAGCATTAGATAAATGTGGCATAAACCGTTATATGGGGGCTATACCAAATCGTGGACTACACATGCAATGTTTCGCCACCGGAGCTGGAATCCATTATGACCTAGAAATACCAATTTTCAGACAAATCCGTGAAAAAACGTGGCAAAAATCATCAAATTACCGAATATCGGGAGGTACCATTATATGGAGGCTATACCAAAACGTCGACCTATAATTTCAATGATTCGCCACACGAACTGGGACCCATTATGATCTACAACTACCAATTTTCAGAGAAATTCGTGGAAAAATGTGGCAAAAACCATCGAAATACCGAATATCGGGAGGTACCGTTATATGGGGGCTATACCAAATCGTGGACGTATACATACAATGTTTCACCACCAGAGCTAGAATCCATTATGACCAACAAATACCAATTTTTAGACAAATCCGTGAAAAAATGTGGCAAAAATAAGCAAAATACACAATATCGGGAGGTACCTTTAAATGGGGGCTATACCAAAACGTGGACCTATACATGCCATGTTTTGCCACACGCACAGGGACCCGTTATGACCTACAAATACCAATTTTCAAACAAATCAGTGAAAAAATGTGGCATAAATCATCAAAATACCGAATATCGGGAGGTACCGTTATATGGGGACTATACCAGAACGTGGACCGATATATCTCATTTTCAATACCAACAATCCTAGATACAATACAAATTGCTTTGCTAAATTTGGCGCTCTACGTCAAATAATGTGGGCTGTATCGTGATTTCAACAGACAGACAGACAGACGGATAGACAGACAAACGGACATCGTTAAATCAACTTAGAATTTTATGCTGATTATGATTATATACCTTATGGGGTCTATGACGAACATTTAGGGATGTTACAAGCGGAATTACAAAGTTAATATACCCTCCTTTCCTAGGTGGAGGGTATAAAAATGTCCTCCTCTAATGTCCGAAAAAAATAAAATTTTTTCTCTAGACTTTCTAGAGAAAGAAGTCTTTGTGGACATCTGTCATGTTTTCCAGATTGGGCGCCACTTGTTTTGAAACTTCACTGATTTGTAATCTTTTTAATGATTCCTGATACTGCAGTCCATTTCAGCTTGGTGACCACGTTAAGTACTTTAAAAAAAAAAAAATCACAAAAGTCCTCCCATATGTTGGGCGACACTTGCTTTGAATCTTGAATGTCTTGAATTTTTATTTTAACACATTTACTGAAATACCTGTCAATCTTGAATACTGATTCTCTACACATTTGAAATCTGGGACGTACAAAGTTTGGGACCTGTAACTCGAGAGCTTAAGTGATATGGTTACTTTTCCGACATTTTTATATCCTACACCACATAGTGGTAAGGGTATTGTGTCTTTGTGCATTTGTTTGTAACATGGAGAAGGAGGAGGAGGGGGGAAGGGTAGTTACTTTTAAGGATGTTCATAGAATCACATTCTGAGTTGATTTATGCATAAGTCTGTCTGTCCCTTCGTCTGTCCATGTATTCTTGTGAACAAAATGCAGGTGGCATTTATTATCCGATTGAGATGAAATTTTCTAAACAAAATTTGTTTGGACCAAGGACGAACCCTATTGAAATTGTTGAGAATCGGCTCAAATTTAGATATATCTCCCGTATTTATATATCTTCAACTGATTTCGGGTAAATTGTGCACCAAATGGCCAATATCTGTCCAAATGTCCTGAATTTTGGCACACCCGACCTAATTCAGTATAGAAGCAAGAACTTCAAATTTTTGTGAAAATCGCTTCAGATGTAGCTATAGTTGCCACATAGATGTTTCATCCGATTTGGTGATTTAAGTTTTAAGAATGATATTTGGTATCAGATAACTTATGGAGCTCAAAAATACCTCTGACTCTGAATTTTATTGAGCATGGATCAGATTAAGATTTAGCTCCCATACATATATCTTTATCCGATATCAGGTTGATTGTGCACCAAATGGCTATGGAGTTTTGGCAATTCAGACTGAATTAATTCTAGAAATAAGTAGTTTAAATTTGGTTGAAAATCGGTTCAGATTTGAATATAACTCCCATATATATATGTCTCATCCGATTTGGCTTCCACACTAGTGCAATATGCTCTCTACAACAATGATATTTGATACCAGGCATCTTGTACTGCTCGAAAATACCTCTGCAAAATTTTATGGAGACCTCTGCAAAATTTTATGCAGAACTATTTTTATATAGTTTCGATATACATCTTCATCCAATTTTACGTTTATTGCTTACCAAAAATGAGATAAATAAAACCGCAACTAAGTCAAACGCCGTAATTTGTACATTTTTCTAAATTTCATTGAATGAGAGCAAAAAATTTTAGAATAAGTTTAGATTTGTTCGAATTGGTCACCTTTGGCACGAATTATGACCTTCAAACGGCCAATGAAACCGTCACACGCTGCCCGAATGTTGCTCTGCGGTATATTGGCCCATTCCCTTCGAAGCGCTTGCTTAAGGTGATCGACACTTTGGTATTTTTAGTGCCAACCTTGCTTTTTAAAATACTCCAGACACAATTGTCCAACGGATTGGTATCCGGAGATTTTGGTGGCTATTGTGCGCTGGAAATGAAGCGAGGAACCTCATTTTGTAACCATTCTTAAGTGGCGCGTGCTGAGTCCTGTTGGAATGTCCAAGTTCTGCAGCCAAAATGTTTGCGTGCCCAAGGCTTTAATACACCCTCCAGAATATTTTCGCTATAATATTCGGCATTTATTCTGATGCCACGGTCGATTAATACGAGCGAAGAGCGACTATCGGCTGTTATGGCGGCCCACACCATCATCATGGCCGGCGCTTGAGTTCTGGTGGCCAACCAAAGGTGCACATTTTCAGCTGACCTCTTTAGCAAGTAAACACGATCATTTTGTTTGTTTACAAACTGCTGGACAGCGAATGTATTCTCAACGGAGACGGAAAAAACCAAATTCGGTAGTTCACCACTTTCGGCCAAGCGAATCAACTCTTTAGCTCTTTTGAGTCTTTTTATACCCTACACCACAAGGTGGTCAGGGTATTATGTCTTTGTGCATTTGTTTGTAACAGGCAAAAGGAAACGAGATAGACCCATAGTTCCTTTTGATGATCTGCATAGAATCACATTCTGAGTCGATTTATGCATGTCCGTCCGTCCGTCTGTCCATGTATTTTTGTAAACAAAGCACAGTTCGCATTTATTGCCCTATCCAGATGAAATTTTGCACAAATCATTTGTTTGGCCCAAGGACGAACCCTATTGAAATTGGAGATAATCGGTCAAAATTTAGATATAGCTCCCATATATATCTTCGTCCGATTTGCCTTTTTTTGTGCACCAAACGTGTAATATCAGTCCGAATAGTATGGAATCGAAATCGGTTCAGATATAGCTATAGCTCCCATATATATTGTTCATCCGATTTGTTATTTTTGTCCTCCGCAGCGGTAATATGCACTCTGTAACAACAATATTTTGGGAAATATATCAAATGCAGCTCAGAAATACATTTGGTAAATGTTATAGAGATCGGTTCAGATTTGGATATAGCTTCCATGTATAACTTCGTCCGATTTACCTTTCATTGTGCACCAAACTTCTAATATTTGCCCAAATTGGATGAAATTTGGCACTTAC